TGGTTTCTATTCCTGTGTTGTTGATTTTTAGGTCTTATGAAACAGCTATCATAAACAGCTATAAAGCCCCAATGTTTTAAAAAGATGACATTACTTAAAGATTAACTGATTTCACCATTTACATGGTTTTTATATGTGACAAGTCTCAATTATGCCTATCACATTCTTCAATGAAGAAATAAGATACGATTTAAAAATAAGTAATAAACAAAGCTGGCAGAGAACTGAATGGGAGGTTTTTTGCTCTGCAGAAACAGCAGGATGAGACGTCTGTTCCCTCCTGACTGTTCAGCTCTGCCTTCCTACACTCTCAGATGAACCCACTAAACTTTGCAAAGGACAGGGAGTCATAAAACCAATTTCTTGCTGTGCCTGAAACAGTTTGCACTGCTTGAACTTGGATGAATTTGTCCAAGGTGTTTCAGAGATGTGTCTGTCAACTCATTTTCCATCCATGTCTTCAGATCCTTCAGAATCCATAGCTAGGCAAATACTATTTTTATCTTTGGCCTGTGGGTACATAACATCAAAAAACTTTAGATGTGTATGAAGAAGGAGTTGCAGAGATGACTTATTCTGAACTGACCACAACTCCCATTCCCCTTCACCCTGTGTTGCTTGTGGGAGGAGATAGAGGAGCTGGGAATGAAATTGAGTCTGGAAAAAAAAAGCATGGAAAGAAACCTGCTCTCCCTTTAGTCCACAGAGCCAGTCATCTGAACATGGAAGGCAATCATACTCATCAGGCAGTTTCCCCTTGGTACATCTATGTTGGTGGTTCTCAAATACCTATTTCTTTTTCATTTGTTTCTACAGTTTTCTCAGGAGTTGTCCCACTGGCTTGACCAGTTCATAATTACCCAGATCTTCCTCCTTGGTCTTTTTGAAGATGAGCATGATATCACATTTGCCTTTTTCCAGCCACTGGGGACCTCTTCTGATTGCTGTAATCTTCCAGAGCTGATAGAGAGTGGCTTTGTGATAACATCTGCCAGTGGCATGTGCTTGTAGGCATCCCATCTGGACCCATGATGGTATGTCTGGTTTACTTAAGTAGCCCATAACTGTAACCTGCTCTACTGTTATTAGTGTTTCCCCCACCAACCACAGCCACTGGGCACACAGATCTCAAAGTTCTGAGAACTTCTGATTAGTGAAGAAAACTATTAGGTATTATGACATGGCTTCCCTAAATGTTATGGATGTTGTTTCAAATACATCACTGCCTTAAAGGTAAGGCTGTAATCTGTTCTCCTGAAGTGCCTTTCCAAGCTGTGGAAGCAACCAGGGAAAACAATAGAGTGATTAGTCAAGAAATTAAAATTAAGTCTGCTAACACGGTGGGTAGTGGTAACATACATAGTGTTTATCAAGTCTTCCAAAATATGACTATTGTGACTTTGTTTATCGATACTTCTATTCAAAAAGTGTATAATAAGTAGAATGCCAATCAGGTTCATAAAAGAATCAAAACACCTCATTGTGTACATACAGAGAAACAGTACCTTCTCTTAATTATTCCTGAAAGACCTTATGATTTCCTAATCAATCTTTAAGGAGCACTGAAACAATTTTCTTCCTTAAAGAAAGAGTAAAAGACTACCCCTTACAGAACCCCCTATAAAAAATGGCATTAAAGAAAAAAAGGAGAAAACTGTCAAGATAGGGAGGTATAACCCTTCTCATTTTTGGAGAAGAAAGCTTCCACTTTTTAAGACTGAAAGGCAGAGAATAGTTGTTGCACATTGCCTTACATGTGGAGGGCACGCTGACTCTAAGTAATACCAAATAATAAACATACAGACAAGAAATAAATATGTGGAAAAATTCCACTGACACTTCAGAGCTGATTAGGAAATTGCAGTACAGGAAATCCTCAGAGGACACAATATTTCACACTGAGGGCTTCACAGATCATATCAAACTTCAGCCATAAAGGAAGAGGAATCTATCCTGGAAATTAATAATGTAGCATGAGCCAATTCTAGTGATATGGAACTCGTGGCTCAACAGTTTCTGTCACTGAGAGGTAGAAGTTCCTGTTAGAAACTGAAGCAGTCTAGGGTCTGAAGTCACTGCTCTCTACAACTTTGACAATATTGGAAGGTAAAGAGCTGACAGCAGAGTGAAGTATTCCAGTGAGGGAAAGAGCTCATCTAAAACAAGGCAATGTATTATTAGACAGATACTACGAATATCACAAGGGTCATCAGACTTGACTTCAAGAGTGATAAGAGCATTTGTCAGAAGACGCTGAGTCTCAGCTGGAGCAGAAATCTCCCTTGAAGCAAACTGCAGGATGAAGGTCAGAAACAGACCTTTTCAGTTTCTGGAATGATGAAGCTTTTATAATAGAAGCCGGACTGCCTGGGTCAAAGCTGATGATAAGGAAACTTTCTGGAGTGGTTTCCTACTGCTGGGACTGAAAAGTCCACCTAAAGAGAGAACTTGAACAGACAGCTCTCTAACTAAAAGGAAAAATATAGCCTTTATAGAGTGTATGTGGCTTATAACCAACAGACCTTAATAGTGAACCCAAGGAAAACTAAACTTGCCTAAAGCTACAAAAAAGGAAAAATTAAGCAAAATGAAACACCAAGATCAAAATGAACACAAAAATCACAAAGGAGCAAACAAAGGAAGTGAAATAAAAGGTAATATCAAACAGGAAGCTTCGCAGACAACTGGAGAAGCAACCGTGGATGCGTTTTTACCGTTTGGGGAACTTATACGAACATATGTTTTCCAAGTACTAAGAGAGGTTAAGTACCACCAGCTCGAGCACTTGCACATGACTCACATCTATTGCCTCATCTAAATAACAAGCATGTACCATAATATTTCATCTATTAGTCCTGCATTTAGAATAACCTATTTAACTACAACATCCATAAAGAAAGAAAACCCATCTTGATATGGCAACCCAATGCATATATGGGCAAAATATTTTAACAGTAGATTACCCTTAAAATATTGTGGTTTACTGCTATTTCAACTTACCTAAGGTAAACCTAGCTTCTGGATTTTATTTTGCTTTTAGCTAGTGAAGAGCTATTTACCATCTCAAATTTCCTTCTCACACACACATTATTATGTATAATCCTAAAAAAAATTGTTTCTTTACATGTTCCTAAATACTCTCCATGGTTTGAACTTCTTTAAGGTTTCACTATAAATTCTTTCGGGCAATCCCCAAAATTATTTCTCTTAGCTTCTGGAAGATAAGTCATTTAAACACTGAAAATATAATTTCCTTCCACCTTATTAGTATAGAACATTTCTTGAAGACACATTTGTATAGTAAATAAATTTTTATGTGCAACTAATAGGATAAAATATTCCAGATGAATGGACAGTTTGCATATGAACATTTAAATTAAGGGAAGAGTTATATAACTACAAATACTCTTTGGTATGTTTTTTAATGCCATTATGTGATATTTAGAAGTATACCCTTGCCTGAGTATTTTTGAACCCTAAAAACACCTACTCACAAAGACTTCTAAATTGGGCTTCAACAGTATTGTCACTTCATTGGTTACTCTGTTATTTATTATAAGCATCAAAACCACTTCTGTGCTTCAAATGACTGTATTTGCCTGATTATGACTTTTATTTCCCAAAGAACAGAACAGAAAAGAAAAGGTTAAAACAATTGTCACAGAGTGAATCCTACCCAAAAGTACAGCTTAAAAAATGAAATCTGGACTACATATGTCCAGCTCTGATTATATGACTCTGCTTTGCACTAGGAAAACAAAAACCCCCACAGGTTAACTTAGCTACAGTTGGGGGGTTAATAGGTATCCAGACATCACTGCTCAGATAAATGAGTCCTGGACTACACCAACCCAGCACTAACAGATTAGTTTATCGCATTATGCATGGAAAACAAAGAAAGACTTGCAGATAATTTTTATGATGTAATGGTGAACAGCTTTACATTCTGGTAATACATTTGGGACATGAGACTAGAATGTGAAACAATCCAGGGAGCCACACTGGTTGGCTTTATCTAAAGGGAAAATCAGAGTCTGACTTGGAGCTATGTAACTAGCAAAGCCACTGGCACTTTATGGAAACAAATTTATTCAAAAAATTCATATATAGTTATGACATTAGCCCCTTGGGTACAGAGGGGGGCTTTGCACAGGGGTCAAGCTGGCAGGAGCTGGACTGAGTGTCCCCTGGGTGTACAGTGCCAGCCTCAAATGAATTATGGGGGCTGGGATTTTGCTATATGTAAGTGTGAAGTTTAAGTGTTATAGACTAGGATAGAAATTGCTATATATACTCATCCTGCTTTGAAAAAAAAAGTTTAGACCAGAACTCACTTAAGTGGCGTGCATCTATTATAGTGACTACCCCAAATTCCTCCATAACAACAATTCAGTAATGAACCACTTCTCTCCAACCCTTTGCATAACCCTGTGTGTACTCTTCTTCCCTAGTAGTATGCTGGCCCTAATGCACATCATTACTTCTCACCCCTGCATATGCCATTACCCTAGCTGCAAGCAGGGCCCCACACATTCAAGCTCCTTTACTATACCTCTCATTGATTACTGTAGCTCTTCAGGTTAACTTGCTTGGTCTGTTTTTACACACATTTGTCTGTGCTAGCAGAGGATGTAAGCAAAGAGCCTCATTCATTACAGCACCTAGTACAGTTATACTTTTTATATTTTTATATAACTAGGACCTGAGGGAACAGGTACAGAATCTAAATTTGATCATACTTGCTCCTTAACTCTGCCTACTCAAGGCAAACAGGATTGCAGATAATAACTTCAGGTCAGAATGTTGTTTCTGTTCACTTACCATCAGCAAAACTCTGCAAGGGACCATACTCATCTGTTAGATGCAATCCTCAAAAAGCCCCAGCCGAAGTAATTTTAAATATTTGCATAGTTTAAGCCACTTCAGTTATACCCTATTCAATACACCACTCCCCAAATCAAAACATTTTAAATAAAGATAAATAATAAGAAAAAAGTTACCTGTTTTATTGCATAATGATGAGGCAAACCACCAACAAATACGGATCCTGTTTCAAGCCGGTATGAACTGGACCAGAAATTTTTAGGTGTACTTGTCTTTGCAGATATCCTCAGGACTGACATTTCTGCTTCACATGGTACCATACCTTGCCTGCATAAATTTAGAAATAGGCACATTTTACCACCATAAATAGCTTACATTACTGTCTATCTGACAAATTAATTGGGCTGTTACTAAGCCAATGAGGAAAGAAAATCAAGTAAATAAATGATTTTATATTAAAGACTATAAACATAAAAGAAACTGTTTAACAAGCTGCAAATTGGTACGTATTTGGGGTTTGACAATCTATTAAAATGAAACCGTATTGTAAATCTGCACAGTGTAACTGCTAAAAGGGCCAAAGCACACAACAATGGCTGAATAAAAAAGTTAGACAATTTTTAACAATAACAAGAAGGTTTTGTAATTTGAAAAAAAAAAGACATCTATTGACATCAAATATCTCATATATCCTTTTTTTCTACACAAAGAAAGATAACCCAGGAAATCAATTTAAAATAAACTGCATTTTAGAAAGTGCAGATGTACTATCATCTGCAATACTTATCTTCAAAAGCATCATTCCTGAAACTGAAAGCAGTAACATTAAGCCCTTAAATTAATACATATGTTCCCTTCTCCCCACCCCCATGCACACACCTTCTCAACAGTGTTGCTCTTAACAGCACTGTAAATTGTTAACAGTAAACAGAAAGTGCAAAGTAAACAATTTGGATTTCTTATTTTTTTTTTAAATGATGCAAAACTCATTTACATACTGATAACCAATTGACAGCAAGCACTTTGTCTTCATGAAAAACGCACAGGAAAAAAACAGCAGAACTGAACAAGAGTCTCTTGTAGGAATTTTTCTTAGCCTATTCTTCTTCCTTCCCGCAAAACAAATCTGAGTTCAACCAGCTGTATGTTTAAAAATATTCCAGTGCCTCTTTAGTATAGGTGCCACAAAAAACCCCAACACACAACTGTGTGAAAATAGCACACACACACATATATATATATAAAGTCAGAAAAAAAAACAAGAAAAACCCAAAACTATAAAAGCAACAGTCTGTAATTTAGTTTGGATGCTCTAAGTAAAGTATGAATTCAGTTTATCTTTTCTAATGCAAAATTAGGTTCTGAAACATCTTAGTTATAAAAAGAGCGTAGAAATTTTCTTCGCTACCTTCTATCAGATACTGAAATACAAAGGATTTCTCATATACCATTTCATAAGATGTTCTATCATTTTTTAAATTGAGAGCATGTAGACTTCACATTTGCAACATTTGCAGACAGTTCTCTATGTTTGTTTTCCATATAATTCTGTTAGTGGATACTTCCAGGAAAATATGCAAACATGGTACTAGCCTTTTAAAAGAAATAACTATAAATGTTTTTCTGAGCAAAATGGCCTTTTTAACCTAGGATAAATAACTTTGGATAAAGAACATAAACTTTTGTTGTTAAACTCAAGACTCAAAAAGAGAAATAAATTTGGTTTTTAATTCTGTGGACTAGAAATAAACTTCTTACAGGACCAGTCCAGGAGAATTTTTTTCTTTTGTTTTCGCCTCAATTTTTTATGCTTTTTTTTTTTTTTTTAAGCTTGCTAATTAGTAACATGAATGAGAAAAAGGGAATATTTGTAGTCAGAAGTGCAGCCAAGGAAAGGAATGTTTTGTAGCACATTTTGTAGGTATTATAGAATGGTTGTATGTGTAAGCACACACACGAGGTTCTGCAGCACACTGTTTTCATTATTTGCTTAGAAAGGAGATTTGTTTGTATGTCATACACGCATTCTCAGTAGCTCTGTTTGCAATGATCAAGCAGCTTTTACTAAGGCTTGAACCCAATGTGACATCTTGGATATACCCATTTTACAACAGAAAGCTGTGGTGAGATTTTTAAGGAAAAAAATTTTGATTTTTAAATATTTAAAATGTCTTCTCTTTCTGATAAAAGGATATAATATCAATAAATGCATAATATTAGGATCGCAATCTTTCTGAAATATTTTAAATTAGACCTGGTTTAATGCAAAGTAATTTTTAAGAATGGAGTAGAAGAGGGTCAGTAGGGGAACTGATCGGAATTTTTTATTTTTCAAACTAATTAACAGATATCTAATTAAATGAAAGCTGCCCGAACAACTTCATTTATTATTTTAAAATTCCTGTTTCTTCTATACATTTTGATAACTCTGTAACTGATTCCGTGACCAAGTATGTACTTCCATTACACAAGCACCCTATTTCTAAATGTAGTTCTTTTCACATTAGCTTTATGCATATTTGTTAGCTTGTCCTTAATAGCTAATATGATGGATATGCAGAGGTATTATTGTGTGCATATATAAACATATTTTGAAATTAATTACCAGTACTTTATGTCAGAAAACAAGTTAATGCAATTCAATAACACCAGCTGCCTTCGCCCTAAGCTTGTTAGAATGTCAGCCATGCACCTTTGATTGTGCTTAATTGAATCTAGCAGGGTCTGGCCAAATTAGAGTAACAACCATAAACCATTATTGTTTAGCATTTGCTGATAATACAATCAATGGGTCATATATTCACTCCATGAAATTTCCATCAGGCTTTTAAAATTCTTTTTCAGCAATCAGCACATTGGGTGCTTTAAAGGTCAAGTAAGAAGACAGAGCTTTTTGCATAATTATAAATGTGGAAATGCATACAGCGATTCTCAAGCACTTTTGCTGGGTAAGCTACCAGTAATTGTGCCTCAGTCCAACCCAGCAGTAATAGCTCACACTTTCTTTATTTGTACTCACATAAATGTAATGATTAAAGACTGGCCTATTAATTATAACCTGAAGATGAGTTCTGTCTAAACAGAATTAAATCCATTGCCCAATGCCTCGCAGGTTGGAAGGATGGAAAGGTCAGATAATAATTTGATAACTGTTGGGATAACAGTACCTAAACATGACAATGTCTGAATGAAATCCAAATCCTTTTACATAATGACCTTACTTGCTGACATTTGTTAGTAATGATTAAATTACACATTTGGGATTGTCATAAAATGCTAAAAAAATAAAACAGCTTGGGGAAGAGGAGGAGGGAAAAGGGGGAGGTGTCCAGATAAAGTATTGTCAGTCAGGCTGTGCATTCCTGGGAATAAAGCTTCTTTGATATGGCGATCCTGATCAGAAAGGGAAATCTCTTCTTCTAGAAACAAGATTGAAACTTACACCCAACTCTAGCAATTCCACTTTGAAGGTGACCATGCTAAACCACAACAAACAATTCACTAATTGCCCCTGAAGTATTTAGGATGTAATGTTAACATTCAGTCTATTAAAAAAAACCCAGCAGTAGGTTTGCAAACAGCTACGCAAACATGAGTTGTGAAAAATTAAATTTTAATTTTTAAAACAAAAATTAAAGAGGTTTTATTATCATATATTCTAAAAAAAATCCAAAATTTCCCTGATTTTATTAAAGAAAACTGATTAACTAAAGCTAAGAAACATATTTCATTTTCACTGTGTTTATTATTTTACATATTTCCTACCTGAAAAAAATCAAAACAAACTCATGTTTCCCTGAGTATCTAGTAGTTTGAATTTTCTGGTTCCTACTGAAATTTCTCTTTGCAGTTGAATGTTTATTTTTGTAAAATTGTAGGGGGGGGGGGGAAAGACCTACTGTCACAGATAATTAAAAGTTACATTTTCTTAATTCACTTTTTGACCAGCACTGGTTTTGAAACACTTAAGGCTTTGCAAAGGTGTTTGAGACAACTTGAAGAATGGAACACCTGCACCTGTGCAGGTTTTACCCTTGGAGGTTTTCAAAACCTGGCTAAATAAAGCCCCAAACAACTTGTTCTGACCCCTTGGCTGGCCCTGCTTTGCCCAGAAGGTTGGACTAGATACCTCCTGGGTCCTTCTTATGATTCTACAAACCTTCAATATTTTCCTTTTGCAAAAAACGCTGAACCCTGTAGTAACGGGCTTTAGAGAGTAAGGCAGAATCTCATATTACCCTCAGCAGATTTATTTAGACAGAAATTATACCAGTTACACTCACAGTCATTAAATTTTCTCTCCTCAGTAACATGCATCATTTTAGACAGCTCATATCTACTGGTGTTGACTGTGCCTTGCGGAGGCAGCAGGTAACACCTGCTTTCATGTTGCAGATGAGCTAGAATCAGCCATGTATCTTTCCTCATTCCCTCTGACAACAGGCTCATAGTTCCTGGTCCTGGAGCTGATTTTTAAGCTAGTCTTAGAGAGTGATTTAGCTAAATACGTAAGAAAAATTAAGCTAATCACAAGGCATGATGTAAATTTCTCCAAGAAATTGGAGCGGGGGTGGGAAGAGAGAATAACCTCTGTTTCACATTCTAAGGAATGAATAAATATGGTACACTCTTATTCTTTTCACAGAGGTTAAACTTACATTACTAAACCTAAAAAGGTCCACAACATGAGTTCCCGCCCTAACAGATAAAAATCCATATTTTTATGAATTTATCACAATTCCTGTTACAGTTGCCACTCAGACTAGCTGCCACTTCCAGTTCTGAAACTGAGCAAGTTCTGTGGTCAGTGCAATTCAGGAATCATTCCTAGCTTAAATGTTGCCAACCTACTTTACAATAATTACTTTTACAGACATTATCTGGAACCTCTGGTTGGCCTTAGGTACAGAGAATAGTCTTCAGATTTCAGTTTTATTTATTACTACAGATTTAGATAGAGAAAAAACAATGATCCATGCCTCTGGCCATTTCTGTCATTGCAATTTGGAGAGCTTCAAGTTTCCTGCTGTTCACATTATAACAAACTTAAATACTATTTGCACATATTATACCTAGAAAATACGTATTTATTTCAAGTTGATGTAAATACAGTGTAATTTGTTGAAAAGCTTAGCCTAAATGAGAATACTGTATTAAAACATCCAAACAGTGGCAAGTTTAGTGTCAGATCTAGATTTGCAACACCAACATTTTATTTCAAGTGAAACTGAAAGTCTTCAATGAATAAGATAGTTACACAATGGAAATTCGTATTTACAACTCTGTAGGCCAGAATTATTTCTGTGCTGTATACCCCTCCCCCGTCT